ACAAATTCCGTATGTATATTATATAAAATATTATTTATATGATTCCGCAAGATTTCAAATGCAGCGTCACCGTAACATTAATTTATAAATGCTTGACGATATAGATGTACGGACATATAGGTGTTTTGATTCATATAGGTACTGGTAGCTTTTATACATGGAAGTAATAATAATTAAAAAAAAAAATGTTTATTCTATTATTTTATTTTATTGTAAACTATATTGAAACATATTTTAATCATAGAAAAGTTTAGTAGAGCAATTAATTTTAAATTTGTAAGACATATATCTTAAGAAGCAAGATTGGAAATTATTTAAACGGTCAGCATAATCAAGTTGGGAAGGATTCCATAATATGAAACCGTATTGAAGATTAGAGCGGACTAAGGATAAAGAAATGGTTTTTTAGATAATGAATATTATTAAAATCCCAGAAATTACGCTTGATAAATCCTAACATACGCATTGCTTTACTATAAATAAATTAAGTATGTTCTGAGAAGGAAAGATCAGCCGACAGAATAATACTTAAATCTTTAATAGAAGATACCGACTTAAGTTGTTGGTTATTTATGAAGTAATTGAAGGATAATTAATTTTTACATTTTGTGAAAGATATTTGGTCACATTTATCTACAGACACCAAGTTGAAAAAACGATCAAAGTATATCATTATATTAAAATTAGATAAATTGCATTTCTTTACTGTATTTTAGCCCTCATTGGCGTTTGTTCAAATAAATTAATTTCATTATAATATTATTCATATCCGATTTTCGTAACGCTCGCTTGAATTCCTACATCACATCCTACTGTACGGTATGAGGCATACACTCGACTGTACCTTTATACTGGGATAAACGCTAAATTGATACTATTTCGTGTTTACAGATTAAATTGATATTGTAAAATTATAAAATCAATGTTGTAATAGTTTATTATTTATTGTCTGACAGCACATGATTGAATGCGTTGCGATGTACATATATTTTTTGTACACAAATACAATATGTATGATTATTGATCGCGTGCTTGGTGCATTATATTTCTTCCTTTAACTATCGTATAATGGGTGTATAAGTATTGAAAATCACCAGTGTTTAACACACGGGAACTAAGAATTCTAGTTATCAGGCGCAAATATTTTCTCAAAAGCGTATTTTTCATCTCGAGATAAACGATGTTATTGTTAGAATGATTCGTTCAGCGGAGAAGTTCTATAGATAGATAACGTTATCCTTATCCGTATATATTGTGAAACCGGAGAGTATAAATGAAAACGAAAACAAGTGTGGGTGTACGTTTTACACTGTTTATTTTGTTTCAGGTTTCTATACTTCATACAAACTATACTTTATTTGCCAATTGTGTCCGTTCGTCTGTTCTTAAAACTTTGCCACTACAACCAACATTATTGTTGATTTTGTAAATGTTATTGGTTCGATCTAGTTTCAAACTCATGAATGATGTATAAAATCCATTAACTGGGCAAACTTCTACAAAGTATACTTTTCCTCATTTGTTGATATTTGCCTTAGTTTTTAAAATAATTTATTTTTGTGTACCCGATATACATTTGTACAATTAACATATTAATTTCATATATTATAACTAAATAGGATGTATATATCGATAACATGATTATTTGCATAATATGCAAATAATTTTTAAATATTTGAAATATTCTAATATTCCACTCTTGTCGTATTTCTTTTTACAGCTCTTTTTTTTGTTAGATCATTATTTCTTTGAGGTTCTTCTATTGTAGATTCCGAGAGAAATGAAGAATGTTTTAATGTACCCATGATGTTGGTGTTGTTTTTTTTTTTTTTGTTTTTGTACACGATTCCTGATGGATTACCCCGATCATTGAAAAAATAAGAGATTTTTTACAGAAAATTGTGTCTAGTTGGTATATAAAAAGAAATCTTTTTACGAATTTCTCAATAGTTTTCTTAATAATTGCAAAATTACGGTAAAAATTACGCCATATGTACCGGTATTTAACAAAATTGTATTTTTATTTTCAAAAATTAATAATTGTTAAGGCATTGAATTTTCTTTAAATACGTATTTCGTATTTTCTATAGACGATATAATTTCAGAAATATTTATTTATAATATTTATTTATAATATTTATTTTTATATTTTTGAAGCAATTGAAATTTTCATGTTTTCTTAGCTTTTTTTAGAAAATATAGATAAAAAAATTTTGGTCTAACAAAAAGTCTTGAAAATATAATAAAAAGTACCTCATATGTATATTTTACTGATGAATGAAAAAATTGATCCTAATTAAAAAAAAAAAAAAAAATTTAGGTAACGAGTCTTTAATTATTAAATTTTGATAAAATTATAAAAATCACGAAAATTTGCTACATTATTATAGTCAAAAGTTTATACAATTTTTAGTATTTAAACTTAAGGCTCAACAATTAGATATAAGATTTTTCATCTAATTTTCTTTACAGCAAAAAAAAAAAAAAACTGGAAAGTCCCAAAAATGAGTTGCAAAATGATGGATATTTCAACAAATTTCCATTAAACGGTATTAGTTATTTAGTTTAACACATTTTATAATTTCATAATATTTTAATGAAGTAGAGCTGTTTATAAATACTTGACATTTTTGATTTTTTCCAAATTGTAGATCCTTATAATTATGTGTGAGTTTAGAACATTGAAAGTTCAACCCACCTTATTAAGAAATTTGCTACTTCTAACCATCATTAAAAATATAAACTGATTCATCTTGACGTCTTTCACTCAGAATCGTTTTTTCGAGAGCCATGGTATATTGGTTTTAAATTTAAAAGACCTATACAGCGTTATCATTTACCCATACCTGTATCTCTCTCGATCTAGAAGTTTCGTATTTTTTTTTTAAATTTTGATATTTTGTTTGGATTTTCATTGCCATATAAAATGTTTTCAATTAGCATTTTTTTTTTTAAGGCAGTCGAAATTGAATTTACTATCACAACTGGGGTTGTAAAATTTCATGAAATATATAATTTGAGTAAAAAATAAAAATTTTGTTTCATTTCAGTCAAAATATAATGCTTTATGTTTTATTTTTTATGAAATACTTTTTGTATTATTAATTGTACAAAATAGAAATTAAAACTAATTTATATAAATTAACAATTAACACCATATTAGTTTATAATTATTATAATTTATAAATATTGATTTAAGAGGTAAGAGACCAATAGTCATTGAAACACCTGAAGAAATTTTACAAAATATAGATGAATTTATAAATAAGTTGTCAGTAGTTCCATTACTTATCAGCTATCACATTATTTAAGAAGTTTCTCATCAAAAAAAATATATCGGTACCTATCGAGTTTAAAAGTTAAGCACTTATTTATAAAATGTATTGTGAATATGGTGAAACACACAGTTCTGGAAATGTTTTTAAAGAAAGTGAAAATATATACAAATAAAAATAAAAAAAAATAAAATATATATATGTATAAAAGATAATAAACATAATGTAATTAAATAAATCTAATTTAATAAAAAATAAAAATTAGCTCCTTTGCCTAGTTAAACAAATAACTTAACAGTATAAAATATAAAATCATAATAATTAGCCATTAGGTAAATATACATTTTTAAATAATATACTATTGAAAGTATGGAAATTAAAATTAAAATGACTGAATTCATATGATATTAATTTATTATTTAAAGATAACAATATAATAAAATTAAAATAAGCTCCTTTGCATAGTTAAACAAATCATAAATTAGGGAAGAATAATGTTCTCATTAATATACTCAAGAAAGTATGGAAATTAAAATTTAGATGGCTGAAAACACTTCAGAAAACTTGACTAGTAACGTGTAAATAAATCACAAGCGATTTGAACTATTATTTATTCGACGAATATTATCATAAAAATAGCTGCTATCAATAATATTGCGCCAGTTTTGTCATTACTACATATATATATATATATATATATATATATATATATATATATATTAATATTAAACATATCTGTGGTCATTACCTATTTATAGGCAGCTGATGGACTATATCACGTTAAATGGGAAAGCCCAAGATTGTACCGAAACGATATCATACAATATCAATTGATTAAATGACATTTGACAGTCACTATCTCAAACGTAAAAAAAAAAAATATTTTTCTGTATTTCATGTGAAATATTTCAAATTTACTACCCTAATCACAACTATTGTTCAAATTGGTTTCTCGTAATAAGAGTATTTACTTAAATGTTATCTATGACGAGATTTGCCACGAAAGATACGGCCGCCGAACAACATTATTACGATAAAAATGTCTCGGTGCCACCACACTGAAACTGAAAACAAAGGAGCTTAAGAAAACTTGTGGCACCGAGAACATGAACTTTAATATGACAAAAAAAATAAAAAAATAAATAAATAAATAAATGTTAATGACTAAATATAGCATGACTGACAGAAATTGAAAACACGGAATAACGAACATTTACGCGTGATGGTAACAACAGTGCCATTAGACAGCTGGTTAATCGCATATGGAGGTATACCTCCACGCTAACCATAACCGTAGCCGTGCAATGCACTGCTATGCATTACACGCAAATTATAATACAAAACAGACAAAAACATGAAACTAGAAACTAAATACATGGCTCAAACAATCATCTTTAATATACCTCATTGTTTTTATTTGTATTCGTCAATTTGTAAACGTTTTTTATCAAACACAATTTTCTCATATGTTGATTTTATTTTATTTATTAATTGTATTCTTATTATACTTATAAATACATTTATTGGCTAAATTACAATATTGCTAATGTATTACGAATATGTATGTATAATTTATTTTCTACCGCTATACTCTAACATGAAAATAATAATTCCTATTAGTAAATAATTATCATATAATAACTATTATACTTAATTAGTTATTATTAACATTGCTATTTCACTTAAAAATATTGTATAGTTAACTAAAAATATTCATGAATATAGGTTTAGAAAATAATCATGGGATTTCCCGAAAAACATTCAAGTCAATGAAAATAACGCACGGACCAAACAAGCAGTCTGATAGTTCGAAGAATACCTCTATGAACAGAGGAACTATGGTATGTTGTTTATGGGTTGGAAGTTTAAATTTCAAATGATGGCTTAGTTTCAATAACATTTAATTTTTAGATGAAAACTTCCCCAATAAGTTGCAAGCACATGAAAATAAGAAAACTATCCAATCGGTTTGGTAAAAACAGCACTCAGTGTAATATGTGCATCAACGCACAGAATAATTCTAGAAATGCGTTTAGAACGAAATTGAGATCGAACAGTTCTATTAAGTGAGTTAATTTAGCTGACGCTGAAACAATGTACTTATTATTGTTTTTAGTAGTTATGTTAATTGTTTGCTTTTGTTTATGTTCAGAAATATTTGGGTATGTGTTGCTTGTGATTTAAAATTCTTAAAGCGAGAAACGATTTTAATACATAGCAAGTTACATGAAGACGAGTTCGACGTCGAGCAAGTAACATTAACCAACACTACTTGTCCGGAATGTAGCTCTGTAAGTTAATGCGATTTTTGCACATTATTTTTAAATCTAATTATGTATTCGTTGTTGTGTTCGTCAAACAATTTCATTTCTATTATTGTTTAACTTGCTGTAACAACATGCATTCAAATCGGACTTAAAAATGTAATTTAATAATCCATAATTCCAGTGCTAGAGTATTGTTATGAATAGGGTTTGGAAGTTATAGTAACCAAAAAAGGCAAAATATGCACAATAAAATTTTAAAATATGCATAAAAGAGTATAAATTATGCAAAAAAAAATATTTATTTATTAAAAGTTAATTAGTAAATTCTAAAAACCTATATTTAAAAAAATTGTATTATTGAAAACTAAAATATGGGGTATAATCGGTTGGTATTTGATATTTTATTGAACTGAAAAATTAGTTAAACAAATATATTTTCATTATTTGTGAAATATGAAATAAATATATGTTGTATAATACCTGTTAAGTTGTTACATTGAGTCACTAATATTATAACTTTTGATTGTAATTTTTTATAAAAATAATCAACATAACCTCAACGGATTTTTAAACTTTTTTGAATTAATCAGTAGCTGACTTACTTAATGCGATAAGGATTTTTCGATCAGACTTCGTGTAAAATTATAATACATTAGCATCTATAATAGATATACTTATATCGTGGATATTGGTTATAATTTGTAGTTATTACTTTGAATAATCATTTTCCTCCACGGGTTGTGTATACAAGTATAAATTGAGAATTATTTTTTTCTGCACTTGCAACATGGATTTCTTATTTGTTGGATTTTCCAGCGATATTTTTATTTCTAAACATTGTATTTGTGTGTATACTGTGTATACCTGTATACTTATACACGTTGATTAGAGTAAAACCTATAGCCCGGTATATATAATTTCTATTTTGTATGTATTTCAGGAATTTCACCATGCTGAGGAGCTCATCAAACACGTTTACGTGCACAGTTACGCAGATAAAGAATTGATCCTGAGCGGGACAATATACAATTGCTACCTATGCGATAGAAGATACAGGAATGCAATTCACTTAAAGGTGTGTTTTCTAATCGAAGAATTTGAAACTTGGGTGGGTTTTTTTAAATTTTATTCTTATCATCAACAGGCTCATCAAACCAAACACAAAGAAAACGAGCTCAAACCGTACAAGTGCAATATGTGCGATAAGCGTTTTATGAACACCGTTGTCCTAACTTGTCACGTACGCACTCATTTCGGTTAGTAGTAAATCGGTGTATCCGCATGCATTGTTATAATTATTAGGACGAGAAATTTGATGCAAATGCGTCTTTTTTTCTAACGTCCCAAAATGTAGTACCGTAAGCAGAAAATGTGTTGCAAGTGATACTGATTAATTTAATGTAGTTTTTATTTTGCATTTTATGACAAATTGAACTTTAAATGCTTTTTAAGACATATTTTGCTGTTTTTATGGCATTTTTTAAGTTTTTAGAGCATTTTTCAGAATTTATCTATTAATTCTGAAATATTAAGGTATTTGATTACACGTTTCAATATTTGCTCGCTCAAACTTACACGTGTAGTATGTAATCTACTTAATTTATATATTCATAAATACGAGCATATCGGTCCATTTACATATTTTATCATAAATAAAACACAATTAAACCAGTTGAAAGAAATTTTTTTATTTGCAAAATTCCAACGACAATAAAATTTAAATAAAGTTTAATAAAATACAAATATTAAACAAATAGGCACCTACCTATTTTATTATTGTTATGTTTATTAAATATAATTAAATATGTTTGGTATCATGACTTTGATAATATTGATTTTGAACTATAATAATTAGATTTTAACGCGTTTTTATAGAGCATTTTTTGCTATTTTTTAGAGCATTAAAATCCCAGCCATATCATGTATAATTTCTGTTGAATTTTTTTTGCTTTTAAAATATGTAATTGAACACAATATTTACCGTGCCGACGTTCCATTTATTTATTTCTTTACATTTTATGTTGAAAGAGTTCATTTTTCTTCTCACCGAATTTCGTTACCCCTGATATGTAAAACGCACTCGGTATACCTACCGTATCCAATATTGCCTATACATTGTGCCGTTTATTGTCGTTCACTGTTATTATTATTGCAATTACACATTCCGTAATAAAACCAACAATAACAATTACAGTGTTTATTCGTTTCAGAGGGTGTAATTTACGACTGTCCCATGTGCCGCTTGACATTTGTCGATTTGAAATCATTAAGGGGACATGTCTATTCACACGCGGTGAACAATATCTTCTATTGTCCAATGTGTCCACTGGTACGTATACGTTCACAATACCGTGCGTTAATAACACTGTTTTGTAATTCGATATTCGAATACAAGCGTTTTTTAAATATTATTGTTATCAATTGATGTTTTTATTTTTTTATTTGCATAGCAATTTAATACGTACAAACTGATCAGGAAGCATATCCGAGCCCGGCACCATGGCATTGAGTTTGGTTGCGAATATTGTAGCAGTTCATTCAACAGCCGTTTCAATCTTAACTTACACATGCTCAAGTACTTTAAATGTTTTGTGAACATTTTCGTTATAGTTTGACAGTTTTAATTTCTATTAACACAATTTGCAGACATTCGGACCAGAGAGATTTTTTGTGCACTATGTGTGGTAAGCAGTATAAGAGAAAAGACAAATTGAAGATACACATGAACAAAATTCATTTTTCTAAGAAAAAACCGTCAAAAACCCAGTTAAAATTAGAAGCCAGGCTTGAAAAGAGAGCAAAACAAATTCAGTTGGTAATTTAAAATTCTATGTAATACCGTCGTTAATATTTAAATTGAAATATTACACTCCCAAAATAAGCTAAAATCTATTATTCATACATATGAATTAATAAGCATATAAGTCATTGAATAAATATATACTAAAAAGAATATGCTCTATTGAATAAAATGTATGTTTTTCTTTTTTGATAAATTAACTTCAAATGTTGAAATCGTTTTAGCAGCTTATATTTAACATTTTTGGAACACTGCATTTCAAAATAAAAAAATATTCGTTAAAATTTATTTCAGAAAACTACGAAATCTATGTTAGAGTATGAAAATTCAGAATTCAGATGCGAAAAGTGTTTGGTTGGATTTAAAAGAAGAGGAGTATTTGTTAATCATCTAGTGTTAAGACATCCGGAAATAAATCTCGACTCTGTTCCATCGCTCAATTTACCGGTTGTGGCTAAAACCAAAATGTACATGTGTCTGTACTGTGATAAAGTAAATATTTTCTATTATATAACATTCTACGATTACAGTTGGAGAATATTGTTTCAATGTTAATTAATTTTATAGATGTACAAGACTAACGCCAAACGAAAATCACACATAATCAAAAACCATCCAGATTGTGAACTTCCTGAGAAGCCAACTGACAAGGTAAGAGATTGTGAAAGCATTATATTAATGCCAGTTGGTGTTTTACGTAGGGGGGGTAACAGGGGGTCTGGTTGCCCCCCCCTTAGGTCACGCATTGTGAAATATTATATTTTATATTTTATATATTTTATTTTGTAACTAAAATTCTGTGCTATGTTTTTTTTTTAGCATAAGAATTACATTTTAAGATTTTAAGTAATAAATTATTAATGGGTTAAACATTTTTTGCCTTTATATATTATAAAATAATGTAAAAAGTCCCACTAAAAAAAAATTTAAAAAACCGCTGCTGATTTATACTAATATATATATTATTGCAAGTTGGTCAGCAGTAATAGATATTACAAAATTAAACGTTTATGTTTATTCAGACTGTTATCATCGACGACGGCCCGTCTGATCCAGCTAGTAGCACTAACACGTCTCGGGTGCATAGTTGCCAGTGGTGTTACAAACAATATATGCTAAAGAATAAACTTTTGAGACACCAACGGGCAAATCATTATCACCTGTTGCCTCCGTCTCTTCAAGAACCACAGCCATCGAAAAGGCTCGGAAATAAAACTAAAAAAACTGAACAACCCGTATTTGAATCAAATCAACAGCCGCAAACAGTTAACATTCAGTTTACGGGTAAATGTTTATATATTTATTAATTTGAATTTACGGGCTGAGCCCTTTATAAAATTAAGTAGAGGTATACAGTAAAAATAAAATAAAATATTACAAATAATACATGATGATATAATACAAAATAATAGAAATACATTATAAGTGTGTGTACAATTAAAACTTAAGAAAGTTAAAGGTGGGGTTCGTGTTGGCATGCAACATCAATCGTCTTATAGGTTCATTTTTCATGTAGTTGGTGGTACTAAAGGGTATGTGAAATAAAGCAGTAGAGCGGGAGGATCGTTGTGGAACTTTAAATAATATGTATGTCATTTGCGTGCATGTTGATCGAATGGTGTCGCATTAGTTGCCAATGTTAAAAAATAAAAAAAATAAAGTCGATAATTGAATATGTCTGACCATTTCATCTCGTGATCAGTCATATATTTGTCCCATCCGCAAAACTAGACTTGTGCTACAAAAATTGTTCTTAGACTTTTTTTTTTTTATTTATTCTGCAGAGTTATAAGGTTTTTATAATTTTAATTTACTTTAATTCAATGGGTAGGGTAAACACGATTGCGTATGGAATTGTATGCAACGTTGTCAAATTCACTAATTTCACCGTATTATGTTTAATAAATATACATATACAGTTCTACAATATTTCATAAAAAAAAAGATAAATAAAATGAGGATAACTAAATAAAAGAAAAATAATTAATAAAGAAATAAAATCGACAGCTTTTATTTGAGTGAAATTATCGTTAATAAATTATTTCAAAATGCTTAAATTTGGATTCTTTGACATCTATAACGTAATCGTATCCTCCCTACTTTACGTATATATGTTGTGATCTCGATATTTTTAAGTTGTGATATTTTCTTTGGATTTTTATACTCGTTGAAAATGTTTATAAGTGAATTAACGCAATACCTACGAAAACAATCTGTGTACTCGTATGGATCCGCAACGCGACGGTCAAATATTATTCATCGCCCTTGACCCAGGCTTTCGGTATTCAAATTAAAATTATAATCGCGTCCGGCGGGAAAAATATAGTTTGGTCTAACACTTAACAGAAAAGCTAAAGTGTGACATGTGCGGTGTGGGTGTTGTGCACATCCTGTTTAAATGATAACTTCGCCCGAGGGCGATTAAACGGCACCGCCCGCACGCGCTAATGAATAATATTTTTTCCACTCGTATATACTTGTCTATACGTGTGTTTTTCATGTGCGTTTCAGATACCGACGGTTTTGAATTAACGGCCACCGACATACAGCTGGATAATCCGATCGAACCGGGCAGCATAATAGCCATCAAACGCCCTATAAAAGTAAGCCGTACGGATATTATTTAGTTTTTGCGCTACACCACGTTGCGTGGTCAGTACGAAGCAACGGATTACACGCTCACGGTCTAATGAATTATTATTTAATATACATATATATTTATATTACTGTTATTATGAATATTATTTTTTTTAAATTTTTTCATTATTATTATTATTATTACTAGTAGTGGATTATGTTTATACAGAACGCTGTCCTAATTCATATAGACTTCGAAGTTTTATATAGATATATACGGAGTGGAGTTGTATTTTTGAACTATATATAGACGCATGAAACCGAAAAGGGGGTTTTATCTCAGTTATTGTTTTTATGTGACTCATTTGTGTTAAGTTAGGTTTATTTTGAAAAATTAATAACCGAGATTATGTAAATGTAATTCGATGAAGTCATTCAATTTCTTTTGGTATGGACTGTGTTTAGTACTCGACGGACCGAAGAAAGATTACCATTTTAAAAGTGGCACAATTTTCGGACAGACAATGTTTTGAGAAACGGGTATTGCATTTTGTGGGTATTCTTCTGTTAAATTACATCAAGTTAGAACCTCTAAATTTTACTAGGGTTTAATTTGTACTTGCTTTATAAACGTACAAGTACTCGTTTGTTTTGAACATGTAAGAAATTATAATCAATAATGTAAGGTTATAGAAATCGTACTAAGGGAAAACATTTTGTTATTAATAATCATACGATAAAGGGTTTAAAAAAAAATGGCACACTATGTTTCTTAATAACCGATTCGATTGTTCTCGGAGAAGGCGGATTAAGGCTAGGATATTTTAGTGGATCCAAAGGGCTTACCATTTAGCACTGTAAACCGACCGAACGCCGCACGCAGTAACCCCATTTATAACGCGACCACTCCCTAAGCGTAATGAATGTTTCATTGTTGTTATTAACGCTGTCACCGTACTGCTGCAGAACAACTCGGAGTTCGTGTCGCAAGCCATGAGGGACTTGGGCATAAGCACAGTGGACGACGTCCTGAACGAGGAACAGTACTACCGGATACTGGACACGCAGGGAGACGTGGCTTACGCGCAACCCATCGATCCGACGATCGCGCTACTCTCATTCGACGGCCATACCATTCAACAGGTGCTGTCTTCGGGCGCCTCGGCTCCGGCGGCCGTTAGCCACTCCGCCACCGTTCCGCCGACGACCGTACATCAGCACCAGTCGTTGCATCCGATCGCCGCTGCTCATCCGTCCCAGGCGCAGCTGTTGTCGTCGTCGGACGTCATCGCCGTGAGCACCGAGTCCGGCGTGATCGATCGTTTGAAGTTCTAGATGATGTGCGGTTAGGGTTAGTCGCCCTGTGGTAGGTCGGACGACGTTTTCGCGAACGTGAACGCCGATCCCAGTGCTGCCGACGCGGTCCAACAATACAAGAACGAAATCTTCTTCTGTCCTCTTTATTTTTTTCACTTCTCTTCCCCTCTCCCCAACTCCTTACGTTTGTCGATCAGACGTATTTTCGCTCTCGGCGTACAACATCCGTGAAAGCGTTTTATTTTAATCGCTCGGTGACAAACTTTCTGATTTATGTCGAGATGCGGCTAGTTCGCTCGACGAATATGAATTAATCCGCGAGTCGAAGTACGCAAGCGAGTTAACTATTCAAATGTTATTTTTGTTTATAAAAATATGCATTATGAGAAACTATATCGAACTAAACTCACTTTCCGTCAACAGTCTAAATGCATGTGTGTTTATATGTATATATGTATCGATTGTGGTGTAAACTTTGTTCTTCCGACCGAATTTACTTTCACGTACAAGAACACTTCAAGACGATCGGTATTCGTGTTAGTCCGCACTTATACAAAATCTAAATTTGATTTCACCAGTATTAAGTTTAGAATAAATTATATCATATTGATACCATGAGATATATTTTTTATTTTTGATGAAATGTTTATACTTCTTTTCGTCTGTTCAAATAATATTATTTAAATATTATTTTAAGCCTCCTAATCATGAGTTTCTTGCACATAATTTGCGATACTATGGTTTAATACGTATAGATTTTTCTACTTTTAATTTGCAGTTTCACAAGTGCTCCTCTCTGTATTTTTATAATTAGGTACTATAATACACGGTATTATTATTTTAATGTTATCATGATTTCAATCTCATGTTCAATATCTAGTAATTTTAATATTCTCTTCTTTTCCTTTTGTATCCTATTGTATAACTTTTGAAACGTTGCGATAATGAAAACATAACTGTATGTATTTATTAAAACACTTAACTGGTTTTATGCTATTAATATATGGCTAGTGTAGTAGTTATGTTTACGTTGTCTATCATTCCGCAAGTTTTGAAAACGATTATGAAAATGTAATTACTTTGTAATAACTTACTGAATATGTTTCGTTATAAGAAAATCTTATTAGAATATAATTTTTATTTTATAGATATTGTACTCAGCCTATATATTTTATAATATGTATTATATTTAAGGGCTGGAAATTTGATGCAAATGCATCTTTTTTCCTAACGCCCCAACACGTAGTTCCGTAAGCAGAAAATGTGTTTCAAGTGATATTGATTACTTTAATGTAGTTTTTATTTTGTATTTTTTTGCATTTTATGACAAATTTAACTTTAAATACATTTTTTCATAATTTTTTTAGAGCATTTTTTGCTATTTTTTTGAGCATTAAAATCCCGGCCCTAACTATATTCATGCGCTTGAAGCACTTTTTTGCGTATAATTTGTTAATGTCATATTATAATTAATGATTTACACCTGTGGCGTGTCAAATTTATTATTTTGGAGAAATTGTTTTTTCAAAATTGTTGGTAGATGGGCGATTTCCTTGCCACAAAATACCTATGTAAAAAAGTATAGATATATAATAAGATATATATATATATATCATAGAAAATAAAAATATGTCTTACTTATGTAACCTACGTCCAACACACTACAACAATGATTCGTATTCTTTTCTGGTTCATGACGCCTTTAGCCATTAGAATCTAACACCGCGTCACTTTAACAGCAACATAATAAATAATCTTAATTTGTGTATTTTAGAATGATTCTTGAAATAACAATAAAAAAAAAAAAATATACGATACACAGAAAAATAATAAGTAGGTACATTTACAATTTATTTGAGTTGCAGCATTCAATAAACATTGACACGTTAAAGTTTAAATTCGCAAATTTTTAAAAAAAAAAGAGAGAGAGAAAAAATAATAATGATTTGTATAAAACTGATAAGATATTAGGCTCTGGTGGTTTTTACAAAGTTGAGGAAGTCGAGGGCTGATGTTGGAAAGACTGAGTCTCATATTATCTTCTAGAAATATAGGCTATAATACATACCTAGTGACTGCAAAATAATTAACGATAAGATAATCGATAATGCAGTGATTTCGCAAATCAAAATACTGCATATGTTTATCGGATCTAAAGAATAAATATAAATTATATAAAAAAACAAACTAAAATATATGCTATTTACATGACAGTTGTGGCAATATTATTTTATTAAAATTCATTTTTTTTCTTATTTTTTTCTTTTCCCGTGAAGATTTTGTGTCATCTTTATGCTGCTGCATCCATGTCACTCCGGTTGAGAACCACTGCTCTACAGCATAAAATCTGTTAATTATAATTAAAAAAAAATTAGTAGTAAATTAATAAATCGAAAACATTAATTCGTCGATGCAGACGATCGTTGTCGGTCGGTTAAAATGCAGTGACCGACGTCCAAACCCAGAAACATATGATGACTAAAATGTCGGTGATAAAAATCAGAAATGTTTCTGAAATTTGTCTCTAATAATCTGCTTTTCTAAAAAACTAGGACGAACCCAATACCTCTTTTTGGAAGCCTTTTTCGTTTCTAAACTCAAAATTACCCAAGTAGATACATCGATTCTAACGTCATTCTTGTTACACATTTTGTTCAAGACTAATTTACAAACTAAAATGTTTATCAAATATATTGCTTTGGTGTGGACGCGTCTGTTTTAAAATTTTGCGGGTGACATTTTGAGGAACTCTTAGTCGTCGACGTTGGTCACAAAAGTGGCAAGTATTTCTTGGTCTCAACGCAGCTATAGGAAAACAAAAATAAGCTGGTTGATTTTAACGACTGCGATTGCTTATACTCACATGATATAATAATAATAATAATACAGAATTTTAAGCGTCCCAATGCCAACAATATTTTATACAAATTACAAAATGTTACAAAAATAAAATACTACTTCAAGACTGTATACCATTATTAGCAACAATATCTTAAGTTACATTAATTACATTAATCAAGATACTTGGTAATTAATTAGTATAATAAATTAACTATATTAATTAAGTGGGTACATTCGATTAAACAAATCTCTCTAAAAATATAAGCATATTAGGTAAATTTTAAATTTTTTGTTGTGGTGAAATGACGTTTGAATGGATAAAATGGAGTCGGGGGAGGGGGGTGTACCTTGCATACATTTTTGTTCATCACCAAAAAAAGAGTTCAACGTGTCACTGATTTACATGAATACATATGACTAGAGCAGAGGAGTAATCGCTGTGTTTCTCAACGGTTGACAATCCAAACACGTTATATTTACTATTTATTATAAAAAAATGCCTAAAGTAGGTATCCAAATAAATAAACTTAAACCAATTAATTAATTGTAATTTGTAAGTTATTAAATAAGGTTGTAAATAAAATGTATTTAGAAAAATTCTTATTTTATGTTCAAAAAATTGAATTTAAAAATGCATATTATTAATGCATATTTTGTATATTTAAGTGCATATTTGGTGAATTTTTAGAGCTACAAGTCCTCTGCCCTACATATGACGTTGATAAGTATTATGAATTAATATAAATAAATTTATTTTTTTTTAATTTATAAAGTACTTGTTAACTTGAAGTATAGGATTTTTACAGATATTTTTTTTTTTTTCATAACTTATCCTGTAATTATCTTTCCTCTAGAATCAAAAGTTCTGGATGTTCAATTTTTTTATTTCCTCTATAAAAATATTTATCAAATAAATTTACTTTTAAAACTTATAATTATAATTAACCAGAAAAATACAATTTTTATCGCGCTGTCGTTATAATATGGTATTAATATACTTTAATAATAAATATCTGTATTGTATACACTGTGGATGTGGTAAGTGTAGCGTATAAAAACTTCTTTAGTTTTTTTATTTTTTTTATGCATATTCTCGTAAAATACCGTACAGTACTTGGTATACAAGAACATAATTTTGACTTATTTTCTTTTAAACATTTTTTGTTTTCTCACAAATATTTTATTTTATCATTATTTGTATAAATTTTACATTTCAGTATTATCAACAATAATGCATGTACTTAATATAGTTCAGAACGATATTTTTGTCGTAATATAATTGTTTTGTTGCCGATCACCAATTGTCGGTCAATGCGTTTTTTTATGCGATTAATTAATCGGTTCATAGATTTTTCTCTGTCCATATACTATTTACGGAAAACATACACTACAATAGTAATAATTAATCGTCAAATGCTTATCAACTGTATAATTTAAAAATCATTTATTTAATTTATATAAAAATAAATAATTATCTAATACCAATTTTAAATTGAACCATTCTAGTATAGTCACTATTTACAACGCTTTGCGTATAGTCTAGATATTTTTACGTCCACATCATTGTGTATACATAAAATACATAATATTCAAAATTACTTATATTGTATAGAGTTTATAATACTCGTTTCAAATAATATTGTTAGGCTAACGCTTCGGCCGAGGTCATTTAAGTAGAATTTTTAAATTCATCGTCCTCGATGGTAGAAAAAATACATGAACGCATTATCAATGTGTTTGATATATATATATGTACATATACTTCTTTTTTTCATAATTCAATTTGATTAAAGATCCTTAGCGGTAATTACAAGTTTAAATAATATTCATTACGTATTATGCCGGTATCTGATTTTACATAATTATTCAGTGCACTTATACGCTTACTATACTATGCACAGCTATATATTCAGTGTACATCGGCATTGTACCTATGTCGAGCTGTCTGGTCCGTTCGAGTAAAAAGATTTAATAGAGGGTATACTCCAGTAAATTAATACATTTCAAAACGCACGTACGCATTGACGTGTAAAAGTTTTTCGGGGCCTGTTATAGCCTACGTTTGCTACCAGTCGTTAATTAGCGTGAGTACAGTGTAGGTGTGTGCCTAGGTGTCTGTTTGTATGTATATATGTGTGTGTGTGTGTGTGTCGACAAAAATACCTTTAAAAAAAAAACAACGTAACTAAAGTTACTTAGTACTATAATATACTTTCATACATATAAGAACAACACTGTATCGTTGTAAATATAAATTAAAATCGCAATAAAACTACATTACTATTTATTATTATGAACAAATACAAAAAAAAAAAAAAAACAATTACAGTCAAATTATTGATAACATCAAGTTGATTTAGAATAAATAATTTTACCCCAATTATACCGCCATCACAACAATAACTAAAGGTTCATGCTATAATTTTTTTTTTTGTAGTATAAACACTTATAAATACCTTGGCTGAAAAATAGTTTATACTATTACACTTTTAAAAATTATACATTTATTTTCTGTTATATTGAAAACTTTTCCAAATCTAATATAGTACTTTTAGGTTAAAAAATATGATTAATTTAAAAATGTGTATGGAGTAATTCGTTTAGTAAGGATATGTGTACAAAATGTATGTATACATTCGATAAAAATTCGACTGCGAAACCAATATCGTTGATATTTTGAAATTAAAATATATTAATATTGTTCACTGTGGCTTATATATTTGTTGAACGGTTTCAGTTAAAATCATTATTGTAAAAACGAACGTTTTTTTTTTTTTTTTTTACTAGCCAAGATAATATAATAGGCTGCAGCCTAGAGAGTGACAAGTGGTGTAAAATAATACGACTACCAAATGCGTCAGAAAAAATATCGTTTTGTTTCGTTTTCATATGTTCAGTAGGTAATAATACTGTATTAATACTAACTGTGTCATAATATTTCTTAATAACTTATCGTCGACAACCGTCCGCAAAGCCATGGCTTTGGCGGTCAAACTCACGCATAAACGGTAATAAAACACAATAGGTATAAACCATCTCATCCAAAACGTATGTTCTTGTGATTTCGAACAAAGAGCAGATACTTAGAAAAAAAAAACAATATATGCTAAGGAAGTCACTGGATGTATTTCGAACATCAAAGTGTACAAATTATGCCTTGGCAGTATTAGGAGTGTTTGCATACTGCATGTAATGTGTAGGTGTATGCTTGCACATGGTATTTATACATTTATTAAAAACCATTAATTTGTGATACAAATATTTTAACGCATTATGAAAGCGCCGGGATCTTCTTAATCGTAAAGCGTTCGGGATATTTATTATGCAATCTAGTATAGACATTGGTGGCGGTTCTTTTCCTGAGATACTTAAATCCCCCCTTCAACCCTTCAAAACGGTGACACATAACAACACTACCCCAATTACACGAAATATTATATTCATAATATTCATATATACATATATATGTGTATAGGTATTTTTTTACATTAAGTAAGTCGAGTTGCGTTTATAGCACAGCTTACGGTAAGGAATATACTTTAATTCACCGTGGCTAAATTCATCGCGTGTCAAATAATCGCGGTCAATTTATCGCACGTCAATATATCGTGGTTGCAATTAATAGCACGTCAATTTATC